ATCCGGTTATTAATCATTTCCTCTAATGATGGATGGAGTAAAAATAATTTCCCGCAAGAAATTCGCATGGCGTGGAGCCGCTTATTAGAGACGCTGCAAACGTTCGTTGTCACGTACATGTTTGTACACATTAGCCAGTAATAAACAAAGTGTAGTAGTTCAATTCCCTAAGGAAATACCGCGCGTGACTGACTAGACAAGGTGCATAAAATATAAAACGCAGTAGTGTTTCATCATTCCCGGGTCGGCAACGAAAACCGTCTTCAAAGAAATGCTAAAACCATAATCAAATTCAGGATACCATTATGTATTCATGCATGGGGAATTCGGTTAGAACTCTTGTTCAAGGGCGCCGTTACATCAAATTATGGTGTGTTTGAATGTCGTGGATTAGTTTATACAATCAAAATCTATGAGTGCCCGGGTGATAGGAATCTACTAAGATTAAGTAACCAAGGTTGAAGTAATGAGTTTTCTGATCATTCAGTATATTCAGCTGATCATAGCTTGACAAGAATTCTCAGCATTCAACAGACCTGAATGCACAGGTTTTTCGTCAAAGAAAAAAATAAATGAAACAATTTCAGTCAATTACCCACGTCTTAGACACTAGAAATAACATGCTTGAATGCTCCTAAAGCATGACTGATGCAAGAAAGCATAGCATTTACAGGGCACCGGAAAAATAGCAATCACTTGGATTCAGTGCAGGAAGTTTTTTAAAATCTTCTCAAACCTGAGTAACATGAGCTAAGCTGGTGACTCAAGGGGCTTTGATTATATGGACATCTAAAGGTGCTGAAGCAGAGAATTTAAATGTATAACAACGTACATTTATTTTACAATCTTGCGAGTGTTGTAAATATCGCTTGTATTCAGTTGTTGTTTCAACCCAATAAAATAATCTAGCCTCATTTAAATAAATATGAAGGTGTCACTGCAATGCTAACTGTACATTTTAAATAAGCATAGCTGACAAGTGACAGAGAACATTCAAAAAGTACACGTGGGGGCTATTCACAGTCTTACTGAAAGTGGGTAACTTCAGATTTCTTTGTGACTTTACATTACTCTAAAGAAAGAGAATTTTCTGTTCACAAAGCATGTTTTTCTCTGAAAAACCTTGAAAACTACACAGCATTTTCTGCCCTCAACCGTGAATGTCAATTTATTTTCTATAGGCCCGATAGCCTTTTCCGTAGGGCACAAATACCAACGTCTGACGTCAGTGGCGTGGCTAATTAGAAAAGTTCATCGCAGTTTACATTATTTCTGGCAAACCATCTGTGGGTAAAAACCTCCACCCCTTTGAAGTACTCGCTTCCAGAATGAAAAAGTGGTTCCTTCTGATATTTATAAACCACCTTTTTTCGAACAGAAAAGCCACTTTATCACAGTTGGAAAAACGGATTTTTGTTCAACATCCCGTAAACATGCGATTTGTTTCAACCGAATTGGACACTATCGGAATTTTAGCGTACTCGGTTCTGTAGCATTCCAACCAAAATGGTTTTGCTTAGTAAAAAGTCACTGTATAAAGCAACCCAGTTTATTATTTACTAATAATATTTTCCCCATATTTCTGTCTACATCTCACGTTCCCTGATCGTTGAAAGTTTGATAACGGTATCCTCCCACAAAAAAGTGCATTCCACAGAATTTCAAGAGTAGAAATTCTTTGTTATTGTGTCTACTACAACGGAACCGGTTTCCGTTTATAAAAAAAACATGTTGTCTCATATACTGTAGTTCAAGTTGTGTTGAAACTACCAGTGAGTTTGAATTTATTCATTGCCCAGTTTAATCCTCGAAACACTTGATCTTGGCCCACTCTCAGAGAGTATGCTTAAGCGAATGCAGTTGGCTGTCATCCTGGTAGGGCTGAGGGACTAGGTTTATGTAGATTTATTCACTAAAACGCAAGTGTATTGCTGGGTATTGGGGCCTTACTCACCCGCTGGGAGCAAGTCTAGTTTCCAGAGTTAGACGCACACTTCTAAGAAGTATAGGATGCCTTAAGGAAGACTGTCACAAACTTAGGCAGGCCGTGCAAATCTGGCGAGGTGTTGTAAGTAATTTGGTGTCAGGGATATGATATGTAGATAGTCATGAAAAACGTTTTCAACTTAGCTGTTCTATACACTGAAATGGGCAACTTGTTTGCGAGCATTTCGCTACCAACCGACGCAACATCATCAGCACATAGTGAGACGGTGAGGTGGCCAACGCTGGTTACCACGGCTACTAGGTTATCGTTTACGCAAATCAGCAGATCAAGGAGTATGAACAACAACAAACAAAATGTCTGTTCCTTTGAATCTTCACGAGTGTCATCTATCCTTTAATGATAAATGTAGGTTTGAAAGGTGGTGACGTTTTTTTAAACTAATGCACATATATCAATGGGCTATGAGACATGAGATATTCGCAACAGACAGGGAAATGTGGATGTTCTATGAATGAAACCGTCGATCTAATAATTCTCAATGCAGTCACTGTCGTTTCGTATTCTCATCAAGAAGCCTGTGACGCAGCATTTAACGAATTTCGTTGGATGATGCAAATGGCTCGTATGAAGGAGGAGAAATAGAAATATTCCCGGGCTAGTTGTGCACAAAACGCTACACTTATACTCCCGGTGTTGACATGGGTTTCGGATGGATGAAAAAGTGTCTTACCCAAAAAATCCTAGGCGTAAATAATTATTTGAAGCAACATGCACAAGATATCCTCAAAAACTTGTGCCTTCACTCTTCAAGCTATTGCCTTGGAATGAAGGCTCCCACTTGTCGTTCATCGGCCGAAATTCTTCGACGTAGATCAATTATCAAAAACTGCTATTTTACTAGTGGGTTATTTGCATAAATTCTACAATATTCAGAAAATATATACCACCTAAGACCTAGACGGTAGTATTTTTTTAACTCGGAAGCCTGCTGAAAACCAAGGTTGCTGTTGTGTGACGTCAAATTCCCTTTGATGGTTAAAATCACAGCAAGGGCAAACTAATAGTGCTGCCTGCCATCAACCATGGATTTTCCATTCACAGTATAAGTAATTTTTGTATACCATAATTTCACTTGGATAACTTTCGCCAGAGCTTTAAAAACAGTTGTTCTGCTCTTCGCTCTTAAAGGGTATATTTGTGGATATGAGGGTACATGTAATAAGTTTGTCTGAATAACTCTTATGTTCATTTTCCTCAGTAGACGTTTCCGAAGGACATTGGTCATCGTTTGATTTTTAGATTCCTAAAGGACGCCACCAGGTGTTCCAGAAATCTTATTTGTTGATGCAAGAAGTAGAACTGTATTGCAGCCATCCAAGTTGATAGTGTGCTAAGCTTGAAGCAGACACACTCGAAATTCGCCTGTATTTCATTTGAAGAACAATAGTTTCTGAAGAGTTAGGTGAAAATCCAAGCTGTTTTAGATTTTTAGACTTAGATTACATTTTTAGATTTTTTTTAGAATTTTTTATTTTGGATAATCAGTCGGAGAGATTGTGACGCTAATTAATTTTGAAAAACACGGGCGAGTAAAAAGCAGTCCCAACCATTATCTACGGTGAGAAAATTAAAGTTCATTTATTGTCTGATTTCCTGTTGGAATCGTGGCTTACGTGAAGATTTGATACTCAGTATGATCTTGGGTCTTTGACTGTAAAATTTGTGCAAATTTTCAGTGATATTGGAAAATGTAGCCAAGTTGTGCTTTGGAACGTGAATTTCTGTGGACACATTGCTGTAAATTGTATTTACACATGTGCAGTTTAAGTGTTTTCTTGAACCTTGCAATAGAGTTTACATTGATATCGGTGGCAGACATCTGGGGATAGTGTCGATATTAAATAGCTGCAATAAATGATTGAGTTCTGACAGAGTTATGGAGGCACGATAAAGTAAGTCTCGTAAAAACAACCACCTTAGTCCAAGTGGAGGCATTTCCGCCATATAGGAAACTACTCACAAGTTTGCTGAAAACTCTTCAACAGCCCACGACCGGTTGCGCCCTGCTTGGGCATTTCTTGGCCCACCACTACCGAAAAAACGCTACAATAAAGGAGCATCATGGCACGCACGTAGACTGTATACCTAGTCCTCACTTAAAACAGTTTAGTAAGTGAGCACAACTGATATGAGGACATGATCATTTTATATTTTGGGCAAAAATTGGGCTTTAACACGCCCCAATTTTCGGTGTAGATAATAAATACTGGGATATTAAATGCCACTGTTGGAGGCATACAATGACCTGACATGGTATTCAATTAAATGGGAAAATGAGAGCACTCTGCTTTCAAAGTTTGACTTTAGGAATTGTATGGCGAGATTTCTTAGTTATAGTTTCATGCTGAAAACCCCTATCAAAAATACATTTCAGAATCATCAGTAGAAATAATTTTGCTGTTCTCCAGTCAAGAAATTGCGAATTGATTTCAGAATGGTTTTGTGTGTGTCTTCTAAATGTCTATTGTGCGAGCATTTTAGCCACTGCGGTATCATTTTTAGAAAGTCCTGACGCAACAGTCCTGCTTTGAACTAAATCATTATGTCGTGTGCTTCTTGGAAATATGCAGAGATACTGGAAACTAAGTTGCACTCATTAGTAGTTGATACGTTCACCAGACTCGGCAATTAGCTTGCAAACGTCTCTTCATTAATAGTGTTATGATCATCAGGGCGCCGTTGGTAGGAGATTTCCACCCGATCGGGCATTGTTGGTGTCATGTCAAAGGTACTTTCTCAATGTTTGCAGCGTTTTAGGGTCTGTTGGCTAGATCAAACTGTTTTGATATAAATAAGAGCACAACAAACACACCATAGCCTCATTTGGAATAAAATCAGTCACAGAAAGTATACTTGCTAGACACAGATTATGAGCTTGTGTTTTCAACTTTGTTTAACATCGGTTTTCTGCAAAATGAAAATGATGTGGAACAACTATACCCAACCCAAATTATATCTCATGCTACGATGTACTACTTCAAACCTGACTTACCTCACGAAAACAGTTTCTATTTCAAATGCTCACGGTTGAGTCCGCAACAAGAAATAATGTCCCGGAAAATCTTCACTTTTCGTGAGGGACCCACAGAAATAGTCCTCTATGTATGTGTGATAGTACCAACAAGTTTTGCAATCAAGCCCTACTTTGCAAAATTTATATTGATAATCGCCACAGTTCCACCGAAGTTGTTCAGTGTTTAGTTTTTTTCATTTGATTCTTTTTAGTTAGACAACCAATGTTGTGCGTTTAAATATTACGCGTTGAATGTGGGCGAGAGCAGCGTAAACCCACCAATCAGTGAACTTGTCTGTAATGTGGCGCGCCTGTCCGTTCAAAGGCGTAAACAATGGTTTTCCTAAATCTGTGACCTCCATACTGCTAAATATCTACTTGAAAATTCACGCTTCTGTTGCTCTTTAAACTAGATGTTTCATTTGAGTGTGGAAGAAATCTGTGCACGCTTTATCTCATTTATTTTGGAAAAAACGCAACACACAAATTGAAAAAACAACTGAGACAGAATCAGCCTTAACTACCTGAGACATTCAAGTTAGTCGTACGAACTAGCACGAATGCCAGCATGCATTCTTCAAGTGATGCCGGGGAACACAAAATTATGGTGATTTTGGTACTTATGTCCTGCATTCTCAAAGTTCTCTGCATCACCCTCCGAGCAATATTATCCAAAGGATGTTCTTGAGATACAGATATTACTTTTCAATATCTTGGACATCGTCGATACAAGGTAACGTGTGCATTTCTCGGGGCGGGATGTGCTCTACATGACACAGACACTTGAACTCACCCCTGATGAACTGAGTGCTGCTTTGAATATGCAGCAAACCACATTTCCACGCAGTTTCGAAGCTCATTTTAGGTAGCCATTTGTTAGCCCTGATCGTTGACAAATAAGGTAAAAGTAAACAACAAGAGTGCCCGAGAAGGTTCTCTGGGGAGAAAAACATTTAACACAAATATTTCGTTTATCAAAAGGGAGAATAAGGCAATCAATGCGACGAATTTTACGCTAGCCAACGGGGAAGAGCTGAGTACCAACCCGGAGTCCAGCTTGGGTCGGCAAACAAACCTTTTTTGCGCTAGATAGTTTAGGAGACTGCATTTTTCACTTTGAGTGACGTCCTTGCACCCCGGAATCATTTGTCCAAAAACATTGCCTCACTAAGATGTGAGTCAAATGTGTGGATTCGAAGGCTTCGATTGGCATATGCTTGCTACGAAAAATTCCAAAGGAAACCGGGCCAAAACGTTGTAAGGGGTCTTAATATTTGGGTGATTTGGATTTTGAGAAAGGATCAATTGCTCTCTACAAAACCAAAGAAATCATAACGTTTTTTCTGGCAGTCCTAAAGTACGCTTTATTTTACAGACGAAGACCGACGTTCTTCTGTAAAGTATCGCTGGTCCTGCAGATGGAACACTAAGTACTTGTTAGTAGCTAGACCTATAAGCACTCCTTAAGAGCTATTGTCTGTCCAGATAAGTCTTTCTCTGTGGAATGGGAAATATAATGACCATTTACGCCTGTATATGTGACCTAAATTGGTTCTAATTCTAAGATGAAAATAGACCTTACAAACATGATTTCATTCATGTTTTCATTATCCAAAGCAAGCCACTAAACTTTCATTTCGGTTGTAAGGCGCTTATCTTTCTCCTAAGATTCCTGTAATTTTTGGAACAACAAGGCACAGTTTATACGATAAATTCTGTCCAACCCTATAAGTCTCTTAAAACTCTTTGAAAACTGGAGTAACGTGAGGAACAAGGCCGAAATATTTAAGTAGCTTTGTATCTTGTTCCGTGTAGTCAAGCTGTGAAAAATACAGAATTTCAAAGAGGATTTACCATGATATTGGGTGTAATACAAATTATTGCAATTTATTACACTGCTGATAATGGAAGTACCTAAAAACGTTACACGCTCCCAGTTCCGTCATCTATTGCTACTGAGGTGCACGTTCCGGGACTTGTATTTTTTCCCCACTATGTAGTAAGCATTTAAATGGCATTCTGTCAAATGAAAACTTGAGATGATTAACACACGAAGTGTAGGTGCGGACGGCCTCAACATACTGCTATCTAAAGATAGCTATTGTTTTCAACGTCGGGATAAATATCACTAAAGTATCCGAACAATTTTGTAGTCACACGCCTAAAAGCTTGTCTTTCACTTGAACTGACGCTTCTAAGCACAGCGATTGTGACCAGCACCAGGTGGTGGGTGTGAAAGCGCACTTGTAAAAACTAATTATAGAAGTGTTTTTCGGAGCAAACTGATGCAAACATGAACACGAGTTGGAAAACCATTTGAAACCATTGTTGCTTTTTTGCCGTTCACACTCGACCAGAAACATAAGATAGTTAACAAAGCATTGATTTTCCTACAGATGCTTGGTCCAATTGAGCCATATCATTCGTATATTTGCGGTTACCGTTCCATTTCCATACATATTCGCATAGACTGAAGACAATGATGTATCTTTTAGTGAACCAGTTTGCCAATTCTCAGCTTTAGCTGATTCTCTCTTGTATGACTTTCAAACAAGCCCTATACAACCAAAGAACCCTAATGTCAGGATTTACTGTTAAAATGCCACTCATGAATTAGTTGAAATATATCTCTTCCTTTTTCTAATTTTCTAATTTGTAATTTTCTAATAATATGTAATTTTTGTGATGCGCGAACTCATTTTGGCTGCCACACGAACAGACCATTAAATGGGAAGTGCTTTAGCGAACATCACCTGACATTATCCAAGGAATGTCGGAAACCCGTGGGATAAACCAGATCAACTTGAAGACACAGGTACCGTAAAAAAGTCATGGAAAGCTATGTGATTAGCAAATATCCCACCTTCATTTTAAAATCACCGTCTACGCGACGCCTGGGGTTACTTTTTTAGGAAATGAGATATCATAATAAATTGTGCTCTAAATGCTTCATGTTCAATCTTAAGTCCTTATTAACTGTCCGAAAATTCGGCATATCTTCCCCTTTCATGTAATTTACCAGATGACTGCGCGATTTGTTTCTATAACACGTATGCTTGGTTAGACCTAGAAGCGGAATAAAATTGGCGTGCTTGAATGTTCGTACAACAACTTTGCCAAAGCGTTAATCATTCTGTAGAATTGCCAGTGGCTTAGAAGATCATACAATCAAATAACTGATTATGGGGTAAATAAAGGAACATCGTCACGATATTGTTCCAGACGCCTTTTAGTGGTTTCCAATAATTTTATAATGACACTAGAATAATCACAAATGCCAATTTTTAGTCTGTCAGCATCGCCGATTTCGGCTGTAAAAAGATTCACTAGCGAAAAAGAACACTTGCTCTCTTTATTTTCCGTCCACCAACCCCAAAGAAGTTGGTTTTGGAAAAATCCAGTCTTTTAAACAAATGGCTTCTATTATCAACCGGCTTATATACTCACTTTTATTAATTGGATTACCGCCGTGGTCAAACACAAGACAATTACGTAAAGTCTCACTGTTCGCTTACCATGTTTCCAGACCGAGTTTCTATATACATACAAACGTATATACTGGTTAAACCGCTGGAAACAAATTCCCTCCAACCTCTCATTTGTCCAATTCAGTCTTTCAGACATGTGGCCAACTTTGAGTCCCGAGGCGTATCTGGATGCAAAAGCTGTGCGATGAGAAAAATACAACAGAGTTCTCCGCTAGCTTACCTTTGCTTTTATCGGTGTGCATACGTGATCCACCATAACGATTTCGTTTTTTTCATTATCAGATGTGGTCAGATCCAGCTGACGTTGGCAGAATATCTATGCGGTATAGTGTAAAGCAATTAAATTCATTAGGATACTTCGTCGATTGTCTCATATCAAGCATATCGCAGAGTGCGGTGAACAAATTAAGATGAAACCACCGTCAACCGAAGGAAAGGGATGCATTTGGTCTGATGGAGTGAAAATGATCAAGTGTTTACGAAATAAGCAAAATCGATATCTATATCTTTATCTATCTCTTTCTCTGTATCGTCGTGTACGAAAGTGAACCCCAACACCATACAAGATGGTTGAAAAAAGTAACTGTATGAGCGGAAAATATTTCCAGAAAGCAGCTTGAATGCCTAAAATGTGCAACAAACAGTAATCGCTATGAAGGCAGAAATTCACAAGAACTGCGTGCGGACAGTATTCGGGATAATTTCTATGGTGAATCATATAAAATTTCTAGGAAACTATTCCTTTCAGATCTCAATTTCTATCTGTGTAGGTGCGCCAATTTACCAAAAAATAAATGCCTTTTGAGTTGATGTGTTGTGGTTTTGGAACTGTATATATTAGGTATTTTATATATTTACCTAAGTGCACTTTGTTGGTTGGTGCATACTCGGGGTGAATAGGATTTCCCCGCACTCGACTCTTGATTGTTTGCTACGTGAAGCACATCAAGTATTTGTAATTCTTACGTTTAGAAGTCACGTAAGTTTGAAACTGCGACAACCTACAGATAACCCACCCTTTTAAGAAGTTCGAAAATGTCGCATTTCGGTGGATTGCGTCAATCCCCCTCCCTGTTAGTGGTTTTCGGCATCCAACGAAGACCATGTTGCAACACTTCTCCTGCATTCAAATAACGAGCACGAAATTTTCCAGGATAACTGTTTCTCTCATCGATATCAATTTAAGAACTTGGCTAGAACCTGAGTACCATTATCGGTTATTACAACTACTCTATTAGAGAATCGTTCTTTCTAACTCCCGGGGAAGCTACAGAACAGTTAGGATTACTAACTGTTCTTGATTGCCTAGATAACGAGAAAAACTAGCCTTGGTAAGATTACTCTGATACGCCTGCACCAAACAGAAGGAGCAAATCCTGCTATTTTTCCCTAGTACAGATTGTTTTCAGGTGAGTGTGGGAAGGTTAATTAAGAATATATGACTGATCAAATAAGGCTTCGTGATATAACCGCATTTAATTTACCACATCTGAAAAGCTGAACATTTCAATGTCTGGGGAAAAACGGTGTTCTTATTCCTCCAAAATGTGCGGGTGAGTATTTCAGTTTTGAATAGAAAAACATTAGCTGTTGGCCCGATGATTTCATACAGCACCATGAGTTCTAATGGCCCACTGTTCGCATTGTGGTGATAAAAATGTCGCGAAGATTTCCACCCACTCACT